AACAAGAACTGCAGAGAAATACAATATTACAGCTAAAACTCAAGTAACAGTAAAGGATGCTGCTCCTTTTAATACCTGAATCAGTCTGTTTTGGGTTTTATTATAGTTGTTATGAATATTCGCATTATTATCTTTTTGCTTAATACCGGCATTATTATTACAGAGTTGCCATTTTTACGTCCCTGTATTTCACTGGGATAATTCAGGATCCACACCTTTCAGGGGAGGAACTCAGTGGCCGTGAGATTAACAAGTTCACATTGGCTCCCTCCTCTATGGAACGTGTGCTAGTTTACAGAGGTGGAGCTGAGGATGATTATCTGTCAGTAGATGGACCCTCTCCAATGTCAAGCCTGATGCTGCCGTGTGTGGCCTGTTTGTGGGACAGAGAGGTAAGGACAGTGTTTGGTTCTGTGGGAGCAAGGCTCATGTGCGGTGGGGGTGTGAGCTGCGGCAAAGGGCCGCTCAGGGGCAGGCTCCAGCCCCCCACGACCGTGGGAAGGCTCTGGTTCCGACGCAGCCTCTCCAGGAGGCTGCAGCCGGCCGCCACACAGGGCAGGGCAGACTCCGGGGCCCTCGGCGACCCCACCTGCAGCTTCTTAGTGAATCCGAGCCGCTGGAGCCGCTCGGCTAATCCCAGGGGGGGCGGATCGGCCTGCGGTCGGCCCAACCTCAGCCCGTACACGTCCTGGAGGAAGAGCTCAGCGGGCCGGGAGGCCAGGAAGCTGTCGGAGGAGGCAGCCGGCTCGAACGGGCCCAGCGAGGGGGGGTCCGCATGCTGCAGCAAGCAGGGAGGTGTGACAGGAGCTGGCCGGCACTGGGCGGAGATACCCTTCTCCAGCAGGATCCTGGCCAGCCCACATGGTGCCATCGGGGGCAGCGATTCCTCTAGGCTGAGCCGACAGGGAGTTACAGGTGTGCTGGGGCCCGTGCGCATAGAGCTGGGTATGTTGCTGGTCACTGCCACCAGGGGGCGGCAGAGAGAGCTAGACAAAATGAGGGAATAAAGACCTTATTGGGATAATGGAAATACATGCAAGCTACCCTCAGATTTAACTGAATTATGACTAAGTCACTTGAACAATGAATTGGTGATGAAGTTCAACCTTAAACTGACCTGGGTGTGACCTGGGTGACATCACTGGGGTGCAGAATTCTGCAGGTGGTGAAGGTGTAGGTGGAGAAAGTGGAGCTCAGGCACTTCCCGGGGTTTCGATCTGCAGATGCAGACAGAGCACTGCTGCACGGCGGTGCCCCTGAACATACCTCAACACACCTGTTCCGGTACAAAGCAGTGCTTGCTGGAGGCTCACCTGACACGACAGAATATGAACTGGAAAGCTGAGCCCCCTGCTGGTGGGCGGATTGGGCCACAGAGGCAGGAGGGGATGGGAGCGGGGGATTTAATCTCCTGCCCTCCATCTTTTCTTCAGGGGTGGATGTGCACGGCACCATAAACACAATGCCCCCCTCTTCCTCCTCATTGTCCTCTTCCTCCCACTTGCTCCCCACACCCGCCTGCCGCCGTGTCCCCGGGGCTCCGTCTGCAAGCCGCTCCTCCTCCTCGTCCTCCTCCGGGTCTGTGAGGCGGTACACGGTGTCCTGCGGTAGGGGCCGGAAGCCCTTGGTAACGACGCCAGGGGGCGGGTCCAGGATGCTGGCCAGGTGCGGCTGGGCCAACTGCTGCCAGTGGTGCAGAGTCAGCGAGCCTGGTGGTGGGAGGACGAGGTCAGAGGTCACGGCAACATTTGACATGTTTCATGAAAATCCAGTGTAATCAACTGAGTATAAAAAGGGGCTAAGATAAGCAGCTAAGCTAATTGGCTGTGTTATGCTAAGCTAAGCGGGTTAGCTAAGCTAAGCGGCTAGGCTAAGCTAACTGGGTAAGCTAAGCGGCTAGGCTAAGCTAAATGGGTAAGCTAAGCTAAGCGGCTAGGCTAAGCTAACTGGCTAACTAGGGATGTGAGCAGAGTGGTAGGCCATACCCTCCATCGGCTTAACAATCTGCAGCTTTTCAGGGAGGAAGGTCTTGTAGCCACTGGCAGACAGGTCAGAGAAGCTGAAGGAGACGGAGCTGCCACCTGGGGAAGTGCAGCCGCCCACCTCTGCCTCCTTCCCCAGCTGCTCCTGCAGCCTCCCCTCCCGCTGGGCCTGGAAGAAACGCAGCTCACAGGCGTGGTTCTGCCTCCGCAGCGAGAGGCGGCGCAAAGCAGCAAGGAGGTCCCCTCCTCCGGGGGAGTCCGGCTGCCCCAGCTGGGCCTGATTCCTGCCACACGGCAGCACGGAGTCGTTAGCATTGCGTTTTTAGAGCAGCATACAGCCACCGAGAACGCGGAAGCCGGTCGTGGGCCTCACCTGGCGCTGTGGCCAGACTCGTCGGCGCCATCTACCTGTGTGGATAGGAAGGGCTGTGCCGTCATCACCACGCCGCCGCGGGATGACCCCGGGATGGCGGCCTGGTGAACGGACTTGTTCATGGAGCGCACCGCCTGGAACACACGTCTCTGGGAGACCCTGGGCACCACAGAACTTTCTGTCAGGGAGGCACCAGGGAATTCCCCGGAACCTTTCCTGTCTGCAGTAGCCCGGCGGGCCCTGCTGTTTGCAGGACCCTAGCTTTCTTACACGATTAGTGTAAAATGACCCAAAAACCTGCACACAGTGTGCCCTGCTGACTGCGGCTGTCACGGAGATTAACCTCTGCTCCTGGTAAGCTCCCTCCTCTTCACTCCGATCCCTCAGCATGGAGCCTTCAATTTCTGCTGCCAGAGAGTCCTAACGTACACACACACACGCGTGTGTCAGACACTGGGACATCAGCGCTCACAGTCATTGTTGTAACAGCTCTCAGTAATGGGTCTCTTGCCCCCTAGCTGTCAGGAGAGGGATGTACATGGCAGTGATATCCTCACATTGTCTGCTGTATAGCAGATATGGCCATAAACCCTGAAATGCTACATTCAGCAAAATGGCGGCAGCAGGTGACGCACCTGGGGGAGAAGCCCGTAGGGCAGGTGTGTATGCAGGGCCGCAGACGGCAGGCTCCGGCCGCGCAGCTCCTTGATTTCCTCATGCGACTCCTGCAGCATGGCAGTACACTCGCTGTTCTCCTCCTGCAGCTCGTTGAGCTACGGCAGACGGGAAGAAGCCCGTTAACTACTGGCACCACACAGAGTACGAGACTGCGTCGGTGGTCAGCTGACAAGCTTTATCCAATGGGCTTCACTCATAGACACTGTCACATGTAGGGAGTGTCAGAGCCCCCCTAACTCACCTCTGCAGTGAGCTGTCTCTGGGCATCCCTGGAAGCCCGTAAGTGGGCCCTCAGCTCCTCCTTTTCCAGGGCCAGCTGTGCAGATACAGGCAGACGGATTGAGAGGCAGGTCATAGGGGGCTAGACCTGCCCCTCCTTGCCCTACTCATTGCCCCCCCCATTCCTCACCTCCTTCACGCGGTGCTGCAGTTCCACGATCTGAGACAGAAGCTGGGCGATCTCCTCCTGGTGACGCAGGAGCTCCTCGTTCCTCTGGAACAGCTCGTCTGTCAGCGCCACCATCTGGCTGTTGCAGTTACCTGGAACAGAAGTCAGGGATTTAGCACTTTTCCAAAAGCAGCTCACCTCTAACCCAATATCCACCCCCCCACACCTGCTAGGTTCTAGGTTCTTTCAGGTTCTACCAGACGCAGGTTCTATCACAGCCCTACCCCAGGCCAGGGCTGAGTGGGCAGACTCACGGAGCTCCTGCACGCAGTCCCGCACCAGTTCCTGCTCCTTCTCTTCGTATGTGAGGGTCTCTGTCTTCAGACGGCGTGCCTGTAGTCACACATATGGCCACATCAGCATGTTCTTGTGGAGTGGAACGTGGGGCCCGGCATGGCTGCCGCAAGGTGACCCACCTTAGACCGCAGTGCCACGTTCTCCTCCTCCAGCTCCTGCAGCTTGCTCTGCAGCACCTCCAGCTGGTTGGCGGTGAGACTGGCGGTCAAAGGACGACGGTACGAGGGTGGCGGTGAGCGGCGGGGCTCAGCCTCAGCCTCTTCCGAGGCGTTGGCCACCATACGCAGGAGTTGGTCTTTCTTCACCAGCTCGTGCTGCAGCTGCCGCACCTGCCAAAAAAGGGGGGGAAAGGAGAGAGAGGGAGAAAAAGGAGGGAGAAAAAAGGCAGCGAGAGACCGGAGGGGAAAGGAGAAACGCAAAAATACATTTATTAGAGGGGAAAGGAAAGACAGAAAAGTGAGGGAGAGAGAGGCACATGCAGCTCGGGGTGATGGTGTAGGTGTGGGGGGCCCGGCCCCTGCTCACCTGCTCCGATGTCTTGGCCAGCTGCTCGTCCATGGCCTCGTTCCTCTCCTGAAGCAGGTGGTTCCTCTGCAGGAGGGACTGGCCAATCCGTGCGGCCAGCTCCAGGTCGCGGTCCCTCTGGAAGTAGAGAGAAGCACATGGCAAAGTTCTCCCTGGTTACAGTTCGGAAAACAGGCGAGAAAAATCACAGACAGTCTACCTCAGCCAGCAGGTGTGTCACCATGGCTACGTCATTATGGGTTCTGGCCATCTGGTCCACCCCGTCAGTGGTGAGGACTGTTGGGGGAGAAAAGGTGGTCAGACACATACACACAGCAGCCTGGGAATCCAAGAGGCGATTGGCTACACACCAACACACAGACAGAAGAGACCCCTACAGGCAAAACTACGGAACTGCAGAAACAAGGTGACAGATCCCCAGTCTCTCTACTTCAAGCTTCAAGCTCCAGAACACCCCCCCCCCCAACTGCACACAAACACACACGAGTTTCCAGTACTTAGTCTGGGGTGGGGGCTCTCACAGCATGACCAATCTATCACACTGGGACCTGTGGGGGGGGGG